TTTTTTTGAAATTTTCTATGAAAATCTCTTTCCCTGGATTGTATAATACTACCCATTCTCACAAAGACTCAATAAATCACATTTTTAGAATCTGTTTTTCTTGACATAGCGATGTTAGCTCGTTCCAAATGCACAGGCAAATTTAGCTTATGGCGGAAATCCTAGAAAATAAGATAGAAAATCTTAGAAATCTTAGAAAATCTTAGAAAATAAGAGCTAAAAATAGCGGAAATTTAACAAATAGCGGAAACTTTCGATAGTATTGTTACTCACAGGAGTGCATGAAGTTTTTGAAGCATAGAGATTGTTATAAGCAAATCAGAAAAACTGCTTATTAATTCTCTGTTCATAACGAAGCTCATTTCCTTATAGGGGCAATCATCACTGAAAAGAGAATGTCCTTCAAGCAGTCTTCATACCGTTTCCCTTGATGTGACATCCGATGAAAGCATTCTTAAAGCGAGGGAATATGTTGAGCGCAATTTGAACGGATTAAGTAAGTCTAGGAAAATTTGGGCAAAATGAGAAAGAGGTTTTGTTTAGAGTTATGGGGTGTTGTAAACAACGCCGGAATTTTTTCCTGTTATGGTCCTGACGATTGGACTTCACTTGAGGACTACAAGAGAGCAGTGGACGTAAACACCTTTGGAGTGATACGCGTTACTCATGTGAGTTCTGAGCGCTTGCCTCCTTTCTCTTCGATTAAAAAGACTTTTTTCTACCGTCTGATTCACTCAGGCACCTAACTTTGTAGCAATTATTATTTGTTCAGGCATTCAAGAAGTATGTCAAGAAAGCAGAGGGACGTATCGTTACGGTAACCTCGGTTAACGGCAGATTATCCTCACCTGGGAGTGGACCCTATGTAGTTAGCAAATTCGGAGCCGAGGCTTATATGGATGCGATAAGGCAGGAACTGTATGCGATGGGAGTGAAGGTCTCCATTCTTGAGCCAGGGATCTTCAGAACACCGTTGATCAATGAGAAAGCCATGCTAGACCGGATTGAATCGGTAGGTGGCTGGCTAAGAAGATCCCCTGTATTACAAATATTTTCCAAGAACGCTGTAGTGAATTGAATGCGATCTATGCCAGCTGCTTTGCCTAAATTTGTCATCTTCTTTATAGTACATGATTCCCCAGAGTAAAGTTTGCTTTTAACGCTTTTTTTCCGTGGTCAAAACAGCACCAATCACAAAAGAATGCAGAGAACAAGCGTAGCAAACTTTTGTAGCCTATATTTTTTTCGATGTTGCAGAGCGAACAAAAGTAGATTAAACATTTTTCTACTATCATTTCAATTTGAATTT